GATCACTGACCCCCGACACGATGAGCGACCACTGACCCCCGACACGATGACCGACCACTGACCCCCGACACGATGATAACGATGGCGATGAGAATGCGGGTGCCAGCACTGCCAATGTCGTCCCTACTGTAAGTGTCTTGTTACGACCAATGTTATATATATCATCCAATGTTGTCCCTACTGTAAGTGTCTTGTTACGACCAATGTTATATATATCATCCAATGTTGTCCCTACTGTAAGTGTCTTGTTACGACCAATGTTATATATATATATCATCCAATGTCACTAGGACCATCACGCTGCTCTGTCGCCCTTGATGGTGACCATGATGGTGATGATGTTGATGATGATGTTCATGATGTTGATGCTGCTGCTCTGTCGCCCATGATGATGATGATGATGTTGTTGATAATGATGATGATGTGGCTGACGGTTTGGTGAGGCTAGGTACAAGAAAGAAAGAGACATTCCAGGCTGAGCAGGACAGAGGTCTATCTCCCGCACACACCGACGTCTATCTCCCGCACACACCGACCAGGTCAACTTGTCTCCCCTCACACTGGCCACCACTCCACCAGGAAATTCCCATCACCGATCCACACCGTCACCAGACAAACCCCTCCCCCTCCCCTCCCCATGAACTGTTCTACACTGACCAAAACATGCGCAACACCAAAACATCTGTTCTTCCTGAACATTCTGTCCCCAAGCACAGAAGTAGCAGCGGTGACAGGGTACTCCCAGGTACGGGCTGCTGGTACCTCCGCCCGCTCCCAGCACTGTCACACCGGAGCGCACCACTACACAAATTCCTGTCAGCTGACACATCACACCGGCCGCTCCCAGCATTGTCACACCGGAGTGCACCACTACACAACTTCCTGTCGCTACTGTCAGCGGACACATCCTTCCATCCAGGGACCCGTCAGATCGCCCGCCCACAAGCCTGACCACCCAACCCATCCCTCAAATTGTTGCTGGAAACACAAACAAACCTCCCCTGAGGCCGGCCCGCCCCACACAAGTGTAGCGTTCATTCATCTGTGAGCGGTGTGTGAACTTCGTGAGGCCATCCACATCTCTGTCACAGGTCTGGGAGGCCCATTCCCTAAGTATCCATCAATGTGCTCACCGTGTGCAGGAAGGAAGGAAGGAAGGAAGGATCAGCTGTGTGTGACAGCCAGCCTCTGAGTGTCTGCGTGATATTGCTTGAGGGGAGCACACGTCAGCACCACTCCGCCACTAGAGGGCGCCACACGTCAGCACCACTCCGCCACTAGAGGGCGCCACACGTCAGCACCACTCCGCCACTAGAGGGCGCCACACGTCAGCACCACTCTGCCACTAGAGGGCGCCACACGTCAGCAGCCAACCCCCT